CGACCTATGAACCAGGAGCTCATAATTCCATTCCTGGTCAGGGCACTTGCCTAGGTTGTCCCCCCCTGACCCCCCTGCCTCCCCTCCTGCAGCCCATTCACCTGAACGAGCTTCTCAGGTTTTGTAACCATCTTAACTGACCGGGGCACAGAGGAGCCCAGTCCCCGCAAAGCAGGAAGACATTGAAGAATGTGTGGCATTGGAAAAGAGAAAGGAGAGCTGAATTTGCTTTCCACTTTACAGGGGGCAAAATCACAGTCACCCCAGTATCTTCATCACCCCCTTTCTTCCACCCCATCCCTCTCACCCCCAAACACTGTCATGTTAAGCTGAAGTGGTCCTCTCGCCCCTTCTCACCTCACTTTCTCCACAGCAACCACCTCAGCCACCACTCACCCTATCGCCGGCTGCTGGCGGCCTCCAGGCCCGTCCCCTGCGCTCCTCTCCTGCTAAGTATTTTTAACCCTCCGTCGGCCTCCCTGACACCCAGATCAGAGAACTGGGCTTTGTCATGAGACACGGCCGAGCTTGCAGCCTGAGGAGGCACCACGCCAGCTCGCCAGCTCCGAACGCAGCTTAGATTAGCACACGCCCCCCCCCCCCCGCCCCCCACCGTTCACAGCTCAGGGCGGGCAGGAGCACGCGGGCTGGTCCAGCCTTCACCGGTGGGCCCAGCCTTCGCTGGTCGGTCCGGCCTTCGAGGTCCACCTTGGGTTCTGAGAGCATCTGGCAGGCCGACCCCCTGGCGGAGGAGGCCAAGGGGCAGTGTGTCCATCCAGGAGAGCCCTCCCCTTACTCCGGGGAGAGCAACTGGAGGAGGAGCGCTGGTGTAGTGTCCCCAAAGGCCGGACACTCTCAGCCCTGCCGTTTGCTCCGGACGCCCCGGAGAAGCAGCAGGGACGCTCAGGGTGGCCGCACGCGGTGAACTTGAGCTCCCTGAGGCAGTCAGGAGCTAGTTTTCAAGAGACGGAAGGAAACTAGCGGGAATTGACCATTTTCCCTGTGTTGCCCTGTGCCCCCCTTGCTCAGCCCACAAAGACCAGTGTCATCACTGTCCTCGTCACCGTTAGGGGCCTGCCTGGGAGAGCTCAAGCCCCCGCCCATCAGCCAGGCATAAAGGAGGCCTTACAGGCAGCCTGGTCCATCCGCCAGAACATCCCCCTCCGCTCACAGCCCAGCCCCAGGCTTCCCAGGCCCAGACGCTTCCAAAAGCCCCCTTCCCCCCACCTCGAACCCATGTTTCCATCTATGAGATGAGGACCGTTCACTCAGTTACAACTTGAGGACTAACTCACAAAAGTGGCAATAAACTGCTT